CCGAGAGCAAAGGCGGAAGGCCCCTCTCCTCTCACACACATCCGTCCATCCATCGACGAATGCATGGTGCAGGCGAGTTGTGTCGGTCTGTCAGGTAAAGGATGCTCAGGGCCTCGGCCGTCCCGAACATGACCTCACAGGCCCCCGCGATCCCGGCCAGGGCCTCTCTCCGGTTGGTGCCTCTGACAACGGAGAGTGCTGACAGAGATATTGCTAGCTCGCGGATGTCATGGATGTCATAGGATAGCAGTGCACGGGAGCTGGCAACCGACTCACGAGCCACTGCCACCGCTTCCGCCACTCGCCTCCTCTCGAGCAGACACAGCAACTGCAGCGCCAGCAGCCGCGGGACCATGACGGTGTCGACGTTCAGGGCGCGCACTCTCTGCAGCATCTCGGCCAGCTCACGCAAGGTCTCCCCTCCAGCTGGGCGCCTCTGCCGCACCACCTGCAGCCGCTGATCCACCTGCTCGATCACCCTTGCCACACGCGGGCTGTACTGGTGCAGCGGATCGGGAAGGTCATATCGCCTCGCCAGCTCCCTCGCGCCAGAAAGCTTCGCGGCTGTACTGGTGACGGACAGGTCCCAGTAGGAGACGGTGACCTCGTTGCCGCGGGCGATGGGGCGGGCGGCACGGACCACCATGAGGTCCTTAAGAACGACATACCTGCGCGAACCAGGCAGCACAAATGAGCCTGCGCCGTCTCGACAGTGCCATTCTTGCGAGTGCGTGGCTTACCAGATGGCATTGCGCTTCGCTCCGGCGTGGCTCAACAGCGATGGCAACGGCCACAGGCCATCTGCATGCATCGCAAAACTCATGTCAGACAGTGCTCTATCTGCAGCTCTCTGCTTGATGAGAAGCCTTACTCACCTGAGGCTGTCCAAAGACGATCAGCTGACTCATCCACAGCAGAAATGAGGGCCTGCATGGAGGTCTCAATGATATCGTCAGCAGTGCGGGTGTTGAAATCCACCAGCCGGCGGAGGCGGTCAGGGTCGCTGTCAATCTGTGCCACGGGAGGACCGAACTCCTCCCCGGCGGCGGACCAGATGAACCGCGGCACCAGGGGAAAATAGGCCGGGGGCAGCCCTAGACACGTCTCGGGAGCTGGAGGCCCCCGGATGGCCGACGGCTGTCCCCTGCTGGGCGGCAGACAGCACAGCTGAGAGACCAGCCGAGGGTGCCAGCTGTCACACTGCGAGGCCAGCCGTGCCACCAGCCGCTCGTCGAATCGCCCACTGTCTTGCGACGATGCCCGCTCCACCACGACGGGCTTCTGGACAATAAGGAGCTGCCCCGGCGGAACATCCTGTGTGGCGACGACGCTCGGCTGGCTGTCGGCGGCGTGGCGGATGGCGACTGGCCCGACGTACTCAGCCACGTCGATGAGCGTGGTCCTGCCGAGCTGTCTGTTCTGCGCGTTGTCCTTTGCCTGTCGGTAGATGGCCGCCCAATCGTACACACCGCTGGCATTGGCCGCGTGGGTGCGGATGCGCCGCTGCAGCGTGGTGACATCTGCCGCCATCTGACCCTCCAAACCCTGACAGAGATACATACAGCCACACAATCGTCACCATCTAATGAGCGTCCCATTGCAGCTTACATATTTGGTGAGTGCCTGGACGACGGCACTTGCAGCATCGAACAGCCGCTCCGCCAGCAGCCCCTGGCCCAGCCGAAAGAGGATCTTCTGCTGGATGGCACTCAGCTGCTGGCAGGGCCCCTTCAGGCAGCTCAGATGGAATGCGGCGGCAGCACAGCCGACGGCGTCCGGCCCGCCCTCCTTGATGAGCTCCGGCTTGAGCAGACACGCAGCCGCGTTGCTCAGCAGGGCCACGAGGGTCGACACATCAGCGGCCGCCAGACCAGCGGTGAAGACGTCCTGTGCTTCGAGATATCTCTCGCCGTCCTGCAGCGCCGCGCCCTCCGTGAGCGCATCCGTCACTTGCTGCGGTGCCTCGACGACCGGCCGGTCTGTCGAGCACAGCTGCGTCATGGCGTCCGTCATGAGTGCCGCGATCGCTCCTTTCGATGGCAGATCGACGTCCTGGATATCATTGTTGTAGGCTGCACCGGTGAGTTGCGCGATGAGGGGCTTGTAGACAATCATGGCGATCTCCTGGAGGATGGCGTACTTGCTGCCTGGCTCGATGGAGTGTGGGGGCGGGAGGATACGCAGGGAGGTGGTGACGTCGATGAAGGCACTGAGGTAGCTCCCCATCCCGATGAGGCACTGGGAGCGGCGAATGAGCAGCTCGGCGAGGGTCTCACGCTCTGCTCGGATGCCCTGACGCCACACAGACATCATAGAAGGAAGCCATTTGCATCGACGGGTCAGACGTGACAGTCATTGTGTGTGTGGCCCACCTTGAGGTACGAGCGGTAAGCGTCGAGATACTTGTCGGCCAAAAACAGAGCATTGCCAGTGTCCTTCCATCTCTCGGCAGTGGTGCACGGCACAGACGCAGAGGCACTCGCAGCAGCAGAGGCCGCAGCAGCAGCACTACTGCAAACAGGAGAGCAGCCACAGACAGATATAAGACGTCAGAATGATGGTGGTGCTGTCCATCGTCTCAATCGAGTGCACGGCTCACGTGTCAGCACTTGACGAAGACGGCTGACGGGCGTCCTCGTCGATCGGAGCACGTGACCGGCTGCACACACCACACCACAGCCATAGAGAGCAACCAGTGAGGCATTCGTCACGCCAGTATGGTTCTCGTCTGCCTTACCTTGTGGATGGAGCGGTGGAGGGCACTGACGGCCCACTCGGCTGAGAGCTACCCGCACCATTCGCCGCAGACTGCTGCATCCCTTGCTGGATCTCCAGCACTAGATCGCGCGCGTACTGCCGCAAGGAGCTGTCGGTGGGGGGAGGCCGATGTCCGCACCATATCGCAACAGAGTGCGGATGATCTGCCTTTGTCGGTCGATCTGTTCGGGTGGGGTCCCCTCTTTGCTGAGCTGCTCCGCGAGGCGATGCGCCGCCGCACGCAGTGCTGTTCCCGTCAGGCCCACAGCATTGTGGTTCTCGCTGTTGATCTCGTCGGGCCCGAGCCGCTCACACAGCCACTCGACCACTGGAAGGCCAGCGTCACCACAGTATGCAACCATGCTGAGGGACGAGTTCCCATCATCGGTTCTGGCATCGAGGGAGGCACCCTTTGCCACCAACAAGTCGAGATAGCCGCGCATGAAGGCTGCCGACAAGCCGGGCGGGGCCTGGGAGGCAGAGTGCATGGCCGTCATCCCAGAGAAGTGGCGGCTCGCGAGTGTCGGTTCGTACTCGAACAGCCGACGATAGAATTCGAGCAGGGCCGTCTCGTATGAAGGTGTGGGATGTGACGGGGCTGCATATTTGGGGGTGAAGCCGATCGCCAGCGCCGAGGATATTCTTCTCGCCCCATCCGACGTCTCGACCAGTGGGGCATCATCCCCTTCATCACGCACAGCCGCCCCACTCTCGAGCAGCACCTCGGTCGCCGTGATGTTGGCCATCATGTGGGCCACATTGAGGGGACAGAGGCCCCGCACGCCCTCATTCACGTCAGCACCGCATTTGACGAGCGCCTCCATGACATCTCGTTGCACTCGGCGAGAGGGCCAGGTGGGGAGCTTGAGGTGCTGGGTCACGGCCGACCAGACGGGAGGACAGCTGTCGAAGTCGTCGTCCACTGCGAGGCACAGCACGCTCACACGGGCTGCTGGCCGGGGCAGTTGCATCAATGGCTCCCCTTCACCGCTCCGAACCGTCAATGGCTGCTCGCCTTTGATCCCAAGCGTCGTATTCGCATCAGCTCCTTTCTCTCGAAACAGCCGCCGTACCTCGCCGCCTGTGAGGGTGCGGCACATGGTCCGACACAGCAGCTCTCGAGAGGCAGAGGCACTCGTGGCCGTCGGCGTCTTGCAATGGACGTCAAAGCTCGCCAAAGAGAGGCCTTGACACCCCAGCAGACTCTCCGCCTGCTCCAAGTGCGAACCAACGGCACTGTTACTCGTCGTCTGTATTCAATCCAACACCCAAGCGACACGTGACATGTTTTGATTCCACCCGTCGACTCAGTCTTCTCCTTTGGAGATCGCGCACCTTGCTGCTGCCCGGGGGCACTCTCAGTTTGGACGAAGCCCGATTGCCGTCACACGAAGATCCATCCCCGACTGGCACACCCGACGGCATACTGCCACAAATAACAAGGCGACAAGAGAAGCTCTTTGCGGGATGCGCAAGACGACGGGTGGCTTACGAGGAGGGCCAGGCAGCTGATGAGGACGACATTGTGCTAGGACCGTGGCTGCTGGCGGCAGCGAATGGACTGAGAAGCGAATGGACGCCACGGCCACGCGTTGCCCAGCTACTGCGTGCTGCTGTCGGTGACTCGGGCGCCTCTCCGTCCATCGCCTCAGACGACATCCACTGCCTGTGCCGTCCGCTGCCTCGTCGACCCCCTGTGGTGCCCTCATCTGCCAGCCGCCCGACGCACTCTGCTGCTCCCGTCTCTCGTGGCTGGTTGCTGCCCTTCCTGTTAGTGGTGGTGCTGTTCGCCTTCTTGCCCATGGCACCGTCGTGTGCTGAGGGCGGGAGGGGCGGCAGGGAGGGCGGGGTAGCCGATGAAGATGATGATGGGCTGCTCGCCAACGCTATGGCGCCAGACTGGTCGAAACAGGCAGAATGACACACACAGAGGGACCGGACCGATGAGTGGGTTAGCCGCTGCATGACACGTTTCTGTCGGTTCACCTGGCTGCCATGAGTGTCTGAGAGTGCTGGAAGACCACCGCTGGCCGCCGTGGACCGACTGGCGGCATCTTGAAGCAGACCTGAACGAGCCCCTGCGGCTTCGGCCGTCTCTCTGATGACGCGCCGCTGGGGCTCCGACAGGCCGCCCAGCAGGATGGCAAGCATGCTGATACACGCTTCTGTCACCTCGCGGAAGCCCACTGCCCCAGCCCACACGACGGGCAGCTCAGCCGAGCCGAATGCATCGTGGGTAGCCATGTTGAGTCCCACGCGCTCGCCACCAGCGGAATCGCAAGTGGCCTGGGAAGTCGCCCTCAGCTGCCGCAATGCAAACCGCTCTTCGGGCTGGCAGCGACTAATGAGCTGTTTGTCGGTCTTGATGAGTGCGAGGATGAAAACCACTGCGGTAGTGAGAGGAATGGGGCGGTCGGATTGGGGTGGTGCAGTGGGAACAGACGCGCCGCGAGCCGCTCGCTCACTGACCACAGACCCTGTCACACAAAGAGAAGGGACGGACACGTAAAAGTACGGACGTGCTGCCCCTCTTGTCCGCCCGCCCGCCTGCACGTGTGAATGCGCGCATACCTGCGATTCGCCGCAAAAAGAACTGCATCGTGGAGCTGTTGCCGAGGTCTATGGAGTCCGTCAGAGAAACAAGATCCGCCAATGTTGAAGGTGAGGCCATCTTGTTCCGCCAGTAATCCACAACGGCCCGCCCAGCTGACATGGCCGTTTGCAACGCCCCCTCAGTCGCGTCGGCCGCCCACTGCGTATGCTGCAGGCCGGTGAGCTCAAAGACGAAGCCGATAGTGTCCACCGGCCCACCATCAGTCGACGCCATCTTGACCCTTCTGACTGTGGTCGATCCGCCCTTGCTCGCCTTCTTTGCCATGGTCTTGGCCATATCTGCCGCCTTCTTGACCTGTGGCGGGAGCTGCTGCTGCTGCTGCTGCTGCTGTGGGGTGGAGGGAGATGGGCACTCGATGATTGGGGGAATGCAGCGGGGCGGGGAGGGGGGCCGCTGGGACATCTCTCGCTCTATGTCCGACACCAAGCTGCGCGGATGAGGGTCAGCACGCATGCGGTCGGGGGACGCGCCATGCTGCAGCAGCACGCGGATCACCTCCTTCAGTCTGTCGACCTTGTCAGCTGAAAGGTCTTGCAGCTTCGCACTGGCATACACGGCCACAAGCTCCAGCGGCATGAATTTCCCACTCCTCTTGTTGATCTCCTCCCTCCCGAGACGCTCACACAGCCACTCCACCGCACTCGGCACAGCCAGCATCACAGCGCAATCGAGGGGCGTGTTGCCCCCTGCATTCCTGGCGGTGAGGGAGGCCCCGTGCTCGGCCAGTAGGTCGAGGTGGGAGCACAGGAGCTCCGATGGCAGTGGACGCGACGTCTCTGTGTTGAGTGCCGCGTGCATGGGGGTGTCGCTGTCGTCGTCCTTCTCGGTCGCCAGTGTCGGGTCATGCTCGAGCAGCCGGCGGTAGACGGCTATCAGGGCGCTGTAATACTCGGGGCGGGGGGAGGAGGGAAGGAGATCTCCAGGTAGGAGGTGGCCAAGGCGCAGGCCTCGCACAGCCGCCCCATTCTTGAGTAGCACCTCCACAGCCGTCAGATTGCCGCACCAGCGTGCCACCTCCAGGGGTTTCGGTGTGCCGCCGTTCGAGTCTGCTCCACAGGCGATGAGCGCCTCGAGCACCGCCCGCTGCACCTCATGAGAGGGCCACTGAGGGAGGTGGAGGTCCCTGTCGTTTGTCCCCCAGACACAAACAGAGCTGTCGGCCCCGTCGATGGCCAGGGAGAGCAGGCTGATGGGCTTCATGTGTTTGGCGGGTGAGTGTGGATGGTGCATGGCCAGAAGGATGCTGATGTCGGCATCAGCTCCTTCCTCACGGCAGAGTCCCCGGACTTGAGCATCTGGCTGGGGCGTGCGGCACATAATGGCGGACGCCAGCTGTCGGTTGGCGGGGCTGCTGCACTCGCTGCCATCCCCGCCGACGATCGTGCCGAGAGAGAAGCCCTGCGGTCTGAGCAGGGCGTCGAGCTGCCCCTCGCCACTCTGAATAGATCAAGGACACAGGCGGCCACCTGCATGTCCCCTGGCTCCTCCCCTCCTTTCTGCCACTCACCTGGCTGCACGACGGCTGCGATCTGCCGATGAATGAGAGGACGCAGCAGCCATCGCCTACCAAAGGACTTCAAACAGCGACTCCATCCATCCTACACGGCCAGGCCATCTGCACATCACAGAGAGTTGCTTCCGCGTGCTTCGCCTTTCTCCCCCTCGTTTGCATTCGGTGCGGCGCCGCAGCGGCGGCTGACCTTTCTCAGGAGGCATGCCTTGGTGCCCTTGTTTCGCCTGGGACCAGCTATCCAGGACTGTTTGATGAATGAATCAACAATGGGAGACCGGCAGCTACACCAGGGCCAGCCGGCCTCCAGGCGTCGGATGTACCCTGCATCTGCCACAACATTCCGTGAAACCGCCCGAGAGGGAGGATCGGCAGAGAAACCTTAGAAACCTTCCTTCCCCCTCCTCCTGATGCTCCGGTTTTGGCGAGTCGGCCAGCTGTCCACGCCCTCTCCAATGGCCGCAATGCATCCCACTATTGAGTGACAATGTTGCCGCCGGGCTACGGCAACCCTTCGGAAAGGCCGTCCACGGGCCCTCCGGCTCGTCCGTCACATCCTGGGTCGCATTTCATCCATGTTCCTGTCGTCCCGCCTCTTGCAGCCGCCCACATGCGTCCCATTGCCATTCGGCCCACTCTCGTCCCGCCGACCGTCTTCGGCATGCCGCCGTCCCCCCCCATCGCCCCTCCCACCTCCTCTCCCGTGAGGCCGCCGATTGCCGCCTCTTTTGTGCGACCTCACGCTGGGTCGGTCAGCCGAGAGAAAGTGTGGCTGATTCACATCTGTCACGGCTCTGTGCCTTCTCTGTGCATGCAGGCGTGATCGGACTGGTGACGTCCCGATTGAGCTGTGGCGTGCCCGAGTAATGCGATGCCTTCCGCTAACCGAGCTGCTCCCCCTGCGCGCGACCTCTCGCTCACTCGGCGCCGCACTCGTCACCGCCGAGGTCCTCCTGGCCCGGGTCGACGGCCTGCTGGCCCGTCATCAGCTCACCGGACTCATTGACGTCAACCGCAACACTGTCCGGTTCTTCAACCTTAGCCGATTCGAGTACTTCCTGCGGTTCGCCTACGTGCTCGACCAGGGCGGCAGCGAGTGGAAGCGGATGGGTATGCTCTTGCGGCTGGCCATCATCTACTCCATGACGTCCCACAGCACGCTGCCGCTGATCGTGTCGGCCCTGTGGGTGGCTGCCAACCTGCCGACGCGCGCGAGCTTCGACCGATTCCCTCTCATGATGGGCATCTACCGGATGGTGGGCCACCTGCTGGCGGATCCCACCGACGGACGCAACATGGCGTTGCAGACCGCTGGGCCCGGCTACTTCATCATCCCGGCCGATTCGCTGCTGCACCATTGCCGTGTGGTGCCGTTGGCGGATTTGCCTGCCAACCACTGCTACATTGAGAGCTACGACAGACACGATCCAGTAGTGGATCTGCCTACATCGAGATGGGTGGCCACCGATGACATCTGGATGACAACCGACGCGTACGACCCGCCCATGGACGGCGAGAAGTTTCCTTTGGCACGCAGCTCCTTCACTTCCTTCCTACTCAGCAACATCTTCGTTCCCCCGCTCCCCACCTCATCGCAACAGGCCTCTCGCGAAGGCAAGTCCACGTCCCTGCCTGCCTGCACCCACATCAAGGCGGACGTGGGTGAAAACGACAGCCGATTTCTGTCCCTGCTCGGTGACGCCCTTCCTGAGGAGATCGGGGCGCTCTCAGGGATAACGTGCAGTCGCGGCAACGACATCATATCGCGTCGGGTGATCCTCTGCGGCATCAGACCCGGTGAGACGGTCGCGGCTCGCCTCCTTGTGTGGGGCGGCAAGATCGAGCTGCAGACGACTGAGTTGCCTGCTGCCGATGCCTCCCAGCCGATGAACGTGCGCTTCCCCGTGTCCATGCCGCTGTTCCGCGGGCTGCTGCGGCGGTTCAGCCTAGACGAAGATGTGATCGATTGGGGGACGGATCGTGATAGATCATGACTGATTGATTGATCTTGATTGATGGGTGGACACCGACTTGATGCATAGCTTGATGAGCCATGCGGCCATTGTTGATGATGAATCAATTCATCGATCGATCGTCTTCCGTTCTTCATGGCAGCACACGAGAGAGATCCCCCACCCAGCAGAGACACTGACAGCGTTCAGCCATGCATTCACAAGACGAAGAATGCAAGTATGAGACCCACAGCTGTTCTCTCTCATCCCATTCCCTTGCTTGGTGTGCCTGTGGGTGGGTCGTGCCTTTTCTGGCCGGTGGGTGGAGTGGTTGAGTCTGAGCTTCCTTCCTGCCTTGTGTCTCAGTCCGAGTGCATGTGCCGAACGACTGACTTGATGGGTGAGCTGACGTCATGCAGACAAACATGGCAGGCAGAATACAGCTGCCTACAGTCTATCTTTAGTCGTTTGTATGTGATGAGTGAGCGAGACACAAATATCTGAACACGCAGGGTGAGGGTAGCATGTGCGTGGGTAGGTGAACGGGAAGGTTGGTTTTGTGAAAGCAGCAGCGACGCCGATCGACTGCTAGAGGAAGTGAGGGGCAAGGGCAGACAGCACGGGGTCGAGTAGAGCGATGCACTCAGTGCACATCATGACATTTGTGGCAAGGCATGTGTTGCAAAATCCAAGGACCTATGATCGATCTCTACCTACTGCACCACGTCGCATAAGAGCAGGCTAAGTCGACAACCAAGACACGCTAGCACATACCAGTTTTCGTCGCGCGATGCGATGCATACGTACAAATACACACAGAGTACACAGATCGATAAACAGCTAGCTAGATACAGCTGAGTCACGCCCCCATACAGACGGTAAACAGGCACATGAGAGTGAATTGGCAATGAGGGAACAAGACATCTACTCACACGAGAGTGCTCCTGACACATGAGATACGCTACAACCACCAAAACACTTCCCTTCTCCGGCTCCCTCTCTCCCTCCCCGCCATCCGCTTCGCTTCTCTCACAAGTACACCTGCTGCGTGTCTGTGATATGCTGTCGGCACCTCGGGCAGGATCGGTCGGCCGGGGGACCGCTCATCAACACGCCAGCACACCCACCACACAGACAGATGTGGCGCTGCATCCACACGTGCATGGGCAACAAAGAAACATGAGACGATAACGCCCATACAAAGAGAGTGTTTGTGTGTGCTTACACATGGGATGAGCAGGATGGACTTGTAGTTGTCCATGCAGACGTCGCACAGGAGAACCTCATCCACACTGCTGGAAGATGCTGAGGTGGCCTGGGCAAGCCTGAGGGGTAGTGTCACACACGGGGAGGGAGACATATGGATGGATGGATGCATGGACGGATGGATGGATGGACGGATGGATGGATGGAAGGACGGATGGATGGATGGATGTCGTTCCATGTCGATTCGCTCACTTCCATTGGGCCTCTTGCAGCTGCCGTATCAACGCGTCGTTCTCCTGATCCTGTTGGCTCAGTTGACCCACCAGATGCTCGGCAGCACCATCAGTGGTCGTCCCAAATCCGCCCTGTGCCCCGCCACAGCGCCCTCTCTGTCCATCCGCTGCGTGTGAGCTGCTGCCGGCCGGTACGGGCGTCCGGTGTGCCAATGCTGTGTTGGTGTCATTGCAGCTGGGCGATGCTGCTGGTCGATCGGCACCCTGACGCACAGATGCGGCGAGTGGGCGCACAAGCCCGCGGGGAGGGGGGTGCTGTGGTCGGGGGGGCAATGCCGAGGCGCTGATCGACGGCCGCACAGCAGCCATCGGGACGAGAGGCGGGGGGCCGCTGACACACAAACACGATGCACACATGACATACAGATGATGCACATATATCTCTCTTTGAGTGTGTGCGTACCGGTGTGCGCGTGTTTGGGTGGGTATGTGAGCGCCCAGCCCACGGCCGGCAGGAGGCCGCCGTACAGCACAAGATGAGAAAGGCCCACCACCAGTACTACACCACACACACACGTACGCACACATGGAGTGGGCAGCCATTCGAGTGACTATGGTATTCGGCTTACTTGAGCGGCTGTGTTTGGGTCACAGGTGCATGCTGGCGTGTGGGGCCGGCTCTTGTTGGTCGGACTGTAGGTGTGGGCGTGCCTTCTTGTTTGGTTTCTTACGACCCCTGACGACGGGCACGAACTCTCCATCGCTGTCCTCACGATCGACAGGCGAAGTGGCGGGGGCAGGGACGGCAGATGAAACATCACACGACGGTGAAGGGGCAGCACTGCACAGACACACAAGGGAGAGGGAGAGAGCGTGTCAGTGAGGCAATGAGGCCGTCTTCACTGTGGCTGTGTGTGGTTACGATTGTGGGTCGGCAGATGAGGTGGAGGGCGGCTGCTCGTCTGCGTCGGTTTCGACCTCACCAGTAGCCACACTGAAGACAGACAGACAGACAGACCGACAGAACACAAGTCCTCCCTGCCCATCTGACGGCCACTCGTGGGTGTATGGGTCAGCCCACCTGCTTGGTCCCTCGTCATCAACCACCTCACACTCCATTGACACTGACTGCTGCTGCTGCCCGTGCTGCTGCTGCTCGTGCTGCTGCGGGTGTCCGCCGCCCTTGCCGCCCTTCTTGCCGCCTCTCTTGGCTTTCTTGACCTTCTCCCTAGCCTCCTCCCTGATGAGCTTCGCGGCGATCTTGGCGGCCTTGGCGGCACCACTCTCCTGCTGCTGCTGCTGCTGCTGCTTCTGCTGCTGCTGTGGTGGGGCGCTCGGCTGGTTCATCTCCTTGCCGATGTCCTGCACGAGTTTGCGGACGAAGCGCCGGTGTGGTGTGGTGGTCCCCATCAGCTGGATGTCCGCACCGTGCCGCAGGAGTGTGCGGATCACCTGCCTGGCCCTGTCGACCGTCTCCTGTGCCGCCTTGTCTCTCAGATGGCAGGACAGGAAATGCCCAGCATACTCCAGCAGCGAGATGCCCTCTGCGTCTGTGTGCTGCCTCTTGTTGGTCTCCTCCCTCCCGAGACGCTGGCACAGCCACTCCACCACACACGGCGCACCCGCGAGCACGGCGCTGCCGAGGGGCGTATAGCTATCACCATTCCTGGCCGTGATGGAAACGCCGTGCTCGGCCAGCAGGGTGAGGAAGGAGCGCAGGAACTCCGCCGACATCAAGCCCTCCGCCATCCCGGACGTGTGGATGGGGGTCAGCGTGTGCTCGCCGTCGCGGAACTCTTCACTTGCAAGTGTGGGATCATGTTGAAGCAGACGACGGTACGCCTTCAGCAGGTCGGCCTCGTACTGGGGGCATGGAGGGGACGGAAGGTATGGCTGGTTTGGGAGGAAAGCCAGGTACATCCCTTGGGTGACCGCACCAGCCCTGAGCAGTGCATCGACGGCCGTGGCGTTGGCACGCGAGCGGGCCGCCGGCAGAGGCCGAAAACCTTCACCCGGCCGACGGTTGGCATCGGCCCCGGCATCGATGAGTGCTTCGAGGACCGCCTGCTGCAGCTCGCGAGATGGCCACAGAGGGAGGGTCAGACGCGTGTCGGTGTTGCGGATGATGATGGCGTCGATGATGACCAAGGACAGCAACCCAACAGGCGGCACTCGACGGGACGCCAGGTGCACCTCAAGGGCCGCATCCGCGTCGGCCCCTTCTTGACACAGACGAGTGACATCGTCAGCCGATGTGATGGTGCGGCAGGCGGCTCCGGCCGCAAGATCCATGGTGGCAGGATAGCTGCCACCATCGCTGTACATCTGGACCTTGGAGCAGCCCTGGGCCCCGAGCAGCTCCCTCAGGCGGCGAGAGCTTGGCTCTTCCAGTGCAGGCTCCCACTCCTGGTCCCATATGGTGTGGCTGCGGAGCTCCTCGGACATCCCACCAGGGTAACGGCAAGCACCAGCCGTCTGCAGCAAGAGGAACAAAATGGAGGGAAATGAAGGGAGATCTGTGCAAGGATGGGAGGCTGACCTGTGATCTCAACACGAGCGGACCTGTTGGCGGGACGGCTATTCTCATTCGGCTAAGCTCGCATCTCGACCCGGTTTCGGTAGCTTGTAGGGCGGAGAGGATGGGCAGCGAAGCCCCGGCCATCGCCCGGCAGATCTGCGAGGCGTTTGAAGCGCAAAAGACGAATGTGCGGCAGCTTGAGGCCATCGAGTGTCGAGAGCGTCAGGAGCCTCAGGGGCGTGGCTACCGCTTCGAATTCGTCGACAGACAGACGGGGCAGCGCCAGGGCGTAGATCTGGCCGGCTTGCCCCCGCCGTATGGATTCGCGTCCATCATCCCTCGGTTTGAGCTGGCCTGCAATGCCCTGCTGACGCATCATCGGGGCGGTCCGACGATCAACATGATGCAGGCCAACGACGAGGACGGCCGACCCACGATGGTCGTCTTCGCCAACCTAGGTACACACACCACCCGACACACGCCACTGTGAAGCCTGCCTGCCTCCGTTCATTCCTGCCCTCCCGCTTGTGTGTGTCGGTCATGTGGTTGCAGGCCAGCCAAACGGCAAGGTGGTGTGGGTGAGGAGGCCCCCAAGTCACGTGACCCGATGCACCAGACGGTGCCTCCACCCACCACGGCCCTCACATCGCACTCGGTGCCGTGCAGCATCACCCAGACCAGAAGCAGCAGCAGCAGCAGCAGCAACACGTGGGCCACCATCCCCCACCCCACCCCCCTGACCCCGCAGCGGCAGCTCTCACCAACACGGACGATCAGCGAGAAGCGAGTGGCGCTGCACCAACGGACCAGGGAGGGGGAGGTGAGGGTGAGGGAGGGCAGCGAGATGGCATGGGCCGGCTGGCATCGGCGAGGGACGCTGCGGCGGCAGGGGCACCGTCGTCATCAGACCTGACGAGTCAGACACATAGACGGGCACCGCGTGTCACGAGTGTCATTTCCTTCTGTGTATGTGTCTGGTTGCGTCAGTGCACTCTGACAAGAACGATGATGAGTACCGCAGAATGGCGGATGGCGATATGGAGCAAGAGGGTGGGCAGGGACCCAATGGAAAGAGCCGCCCGTGCCGCATGCACGTTGCTGTGTCTGTGTGTACGTCAGATGTGGCTATGGACGCACCACCTCCTGCTGCCGCTGCCGCTGCCGCTGCCGCTGCCGCTGCCGCTGCCGCTGCCGCCGCTGCTGGCGGTCCTGACGAGTCGGCCACGGATGGGGATGGGCAGCCCAACAGTGTGGAGGAGGACTGCCGTCGGTCCTTCATGGCCAAATACGGCTCATGCATCTCCAAGGAGGTCGCCAACGGTGTCACATTCGACCTCCGCTACTCGTCCCCGGGCAAGGATTCCGATTCTCCGCATCCGCCTGAAGATCACGAGGAAGGCCTCCTCTTCGTGGCAATGGCAGCACATGACCAGGAAGCTCGGAGAAAAAGGGGTGCCGGTTCCTCTGGCCCATTCTGGAAAGCGCCGGCGCGGCACCTTGCGTCAACGTGAGGCATCTGCTGACCACGGGGGTGTATCGTCAAAACAGAGGCGACTCTCGCAGAGGCAGGGGGCTGGGGAGGGGGAGGGCCAAGGGAGAGGTGTCGTAGATGGTGTGGTCGGCGATGGTCCACGCCCCACGGGCCGACGGGCGTCGGCAAGTGGCGCTGCTGCTGCGACCCTGGCGGCAGGTTCGACATACCCACACCGAGCCTGTCTGTGTTGAACCTGCCGACAGCTCTGTCTGCTGCTGCCTCTCAGGCCGTCACATCCGTCACAACATGGCTGCGCCGCCTCCCCCGCCGCCACCAGTTCCACCTCTGCCTCCCCGCCCTCTCGCCGCCACAGTCCCCGCATCTCATGGCAACTCAGCGATGGCTGAGGCCCCATCGCCGCAGCCACCACTGACAGTGGACCAGCCACCGCAGCAAGAGAACCACCCTATGCACCAGGACCAGCAGCATGAGGAGCGGCCAGCGGTGGGAGCTGCCGGGGAGAGGGACGGTGAGGGGCACCCACAGCCACAGACACAGCCACAGCCACCTCCTGCACCCAGTGCTGTCGTCAAGACGGAGCTCGCCGACACACCACCAGCCGACTACAACCAGCACAGCCGTCAGGGCGGAACCACCATCAAGCAGGAGCAGATGGGTGGGCAACATGACCCTCCAGCAGCAGCAGCAGCAGCGGCAGTAGCAGTAGCATCCGCCGAGAGGGTGCAGGGTGCGTCTCGGGTCAAGGTAGAGACGGGTGCGTCCGGGGCAAAAACACGGGATGGGCGTGGGCCGGAAGGTGCGAGCGGTGTCGGGCATCAGCAGGGTGAGGTGGTAGACTTGGTGGCCGACGGGGAGGGTGATGAACGTGGAGGGGGGAGCAGTGAGTACGTCGACAAGCTCCACATGCTGTCGCATGTGGACCTGGTGGCGGCCCTAAAGAAGCAGAAGGCACACGCTGCCCTTGAGGTCGTTGAGGAGGTCAGTGCAGCGAGGTGTAGCGAGCACACCTCCACCCCATCCACTCACTGGTCTGTCTCTCTCTTTTCGTTCGGGTGTGTGATACAGATGGCGTTTGACGGGAGGAATTTGGCTTCTCTGCGTGGGAAGACGGTGTCTCAGGTCGTGCTTCAGTACTACGATGGTGAGCGAAAACACAGTGGGCGAGTGGGCCACCTGATGAACTGGATCGACGACGTCTACAAGAACGACAACACGGTATACATTCATTCACTCAACCAGACAGCCAGCCAGACAGACAGCCGGACAGAAATCAATCAATCACGTGTGTGCATCAATCAGGGCCGTCTGCGCGTGCCGCTAGCATCGGCATCGGCATCGGCATCGGCAGCAGAACGCTGACCATACTCCCCAGGTGACATGAGATCCCCACTAAATCGACGCCACAGGCCGCACCGTGCTCCACTGCCGTGCCCTGTTTGTGTGTCAGATAGACGAGCGGCTTCGCCGAAAGTTTTTCCTTAGCTGTGGGGCGGTCCGTGGGTGGGTGGAGAGGGGAGAGGTGTGTCGTGTGCTGCGTGCTTCCTGACCGGCCCACCTGCTCGCCTGCCTGGGCCGGCCGGCCGGCCGGCCGGCGAGAAAACGCATTAGCCGAGTAAAAGCAGCAAATCGAAGAACTCGAACCATCGCACCTTGAAGACTCGAATGGTCCCTATATATATCGGTATGTGTGGCCCTCGGTCCTCATTAAACGGCTTCGCTAGCTATACAATAAAGATGAGAGGGCGATGGGTGGATGGATGGCGCGATGGGTGATTCATTGGACGATTCATTCACCAGATAGGTGGCTGCGAATGAGTGAGTGACACTGCGTCGATCTCTTGTTGGTGCGTGTAGCTGACTGAAAAAGGTGCGGACGGGCGATGCAGTCAGTGGTGCATGTGTTGTGTGTCTGTCCGTGTCTTCCTTTCATGAAGTGGACCAATCCTGATGTGTTGTTCTCAATTGTGTATTATAAATGTTCTGAGGTCTTCACCGCAGCACCGCACCACCGCACGGCACAGACACGCAAGGGAAGCAAGTGCACACAACCGAGTGAGTCCTCAGCCACATTGATTGCACATCCAGTGTTATCCACAAAGAGACAGACAGCCGGGCAGACAGACAGACAGACGTGCACACGAGGCGATAGACAGACGCCTGGCCTTACCAAACCTCCGATCTTTTGGAAGTATACATACGTGGATATACGTACGGCTAAAACCATAAAGGCGGATTGTCAGTCAGTCAGTGCGATGGCTTGGGCAACGACACAACTGATTGACACACCAGGTCTGATGCACCCGCAGCACAAGAAGAGACCATCTCAAATTACAAAACGCCCGCCGCCCCACGCCACGCAGCGCCACCCACACATAAACAAAAGTGCTGCAGAGGAGACACACTCGTCTGTCTGTCTGTCTGTCTGTCGGCTTTGCAAGTGAGTGCGATGATATCTAGCTAGCTATCGATGTTATGCTATGTGCCGCCGTCCATCCAGTGGTGAATTAGTGCACACACATGTGCAAACAGGGATGTGTGTGTGCACCTTGTGGGCACGTCCAGCCAGCCCCCATTTGTGTGATGCGTGTGATGTGAGTATCACCCCATCGAATCGATCCACAGACAGAGAAAGACACTTGCACACTTACTCGTACCTACCATCTATCTCATCTGCCTGCACCCACCGGCATCCATCCATCCACACGTCGAGCACACGCAGCCCCCCACCTACCGCCCATATCCCATCATCTGATCTGCACACTCACCCCAGGCACCACCACCAGACGAGCATCATATCATTGGCTCTGCTCGAATCGCTTTCGCATGACGATGCCCTGGTTGGCGCACTCCTCCGCCCAGAACTCCTCCAGCCACCCCAGCTCAGGCGCACCCTCCTCATAAGTGAACCCATGGCCGAAGGGGAACAGCGGGACCTCACCGCTCCCATCGTTGACCACGGCCTGGCAGGGCCGTGCTGGCCACGAGTAGCTGAGTTTGGCCGAGAAGGGTCTGTCGCCGTAGAGGACGTCAGCGATGCCCAGGCCGCCTTCGGTGCCCGGCAGCCAGGCGGCCACGAAGGCGTCGCATCGGTTGAGATGGGGGTTGACGTACAGCGGGCGGCCGGACAGCAGCACACACACCACTTTGGTGCTCGTCGACACAGTCGCCTTGACCTTATCCAGCAGCTCGAGGTCACGGGGGTACCTGACGGTCAGACAGACACCACACACATAGGTAGGGAGAAATGCATCAGTCCATCACATCACACACACAGGTGCGTTGGCCACCTGGCGTGCAGTGCCAGGCTGGTCTCTCCGAGGTCGCCATACACCTCGGCATAGGGCAGCTCCCCCAGCACCACCACCACCGTGTCGACGGCCTCAGGGGGCCTGTCGTCCGCCTCCATCTCGCTCAGGTACGCACTGCCGCCGTAGTGAGCGGCCTTAAGCTTGATGCCCTTCCACACCGACGTGGCCTGAGGGAACTCCTTGTTGCCGATGTTGTCGCCCTGCCACTCCAGCGACCACGCCCCCGTCATGGCGGGGATCCAGTTGGCCAAAGGCGAGTCGGCGCCCTCGTACGGCGGCTTCCCTGGCAGCACCTTGCGGCCGGCCGTCAGCCGAGACACCACCCACACACTCCCGCCCTTGGGCAGTGGCAGCGCGGCGTTGTTGTTCTTCAGAAGGACGAGTGACTTGCGGACGGCCTCGCGCGCGAGTGCGGCGTGCTCGGTTGAGTGGAGGAGGTCGTATTGGTTGGCGTATTTCCGTGTGGATGGCTTGCCCTTGACTTTGGAGCCGTCGGGTCCGATGAGGCCGTACCTCATCTTGACGGTGAGGATGCGTCGGACGGCGTCGTCGATCCGGTAGAGGGGGATGGTGCCTTCCCTGACGCGCCGCATGGTATTGGTGATGAACTTCTGCCAGTTGTCCATGCCGTCGCCGACCATGAGCATGTCCACGCCCGCATTGATGGTCTCCGGGCAGTCGATGACCGTGCAGCCCTTGACCGCCCTGTGCGCACTCCAATCTCCCACCACCAAGCCGTCAAAGTCAAATGTGTGCTGAAGGAGCCAACAGAGAGAGAGGATGCGCGACAAATGGGTATCTATCAAGTCACCTTGAGCACGTCGGTGATAAGGAATTTGTAGGCGTGCATGTGCACGCCGTTGAAGAGGGTGAACGAGGGCATCACTGCCTGCGCCTTGCCATCCGACATGCACGCCCTGAACGGCGGCAGGTGCACTCGTCTCAGCTCTTCCTCGCCCAGCAGCACGTTGCCGTCGGTGATACCGCCCACCGGCGCACCGTCGCCGATGAAGTGCTTGCACGTCGTCAGCAACTTACCGTCCTTCAAAAAGGTCTTGGGGTCATCCGACTCGCCCTGCGCACTCACACACACACACCTCTCTGTGTCGGCGTGTCTCTCTCTCCGTTCACCAGCACACCTGAATCCCCCTGACGAGGGCGCCGATGAGTCTCTTGGCGGTGTATGGCTCCTCAGCGAACGACTCGTAGGTCCGCCCCCACCTGTCGTCACGCGTCACGGCCACAGTGGGCGCCAAGGTCCAGTCCACGCCCGTGACAGACACCTCAGCAGCCGTTGCCCTGCCGATCCGCCGCATCAGGTCGGTGTCGTTGGCACACCCGAGACCTATGTTATGTGGGAATAGTGTCGCGCCGGGCATGTTGTTGTGGCCGTGGATGGCGTCCGTGGCGATGAGGGGCGGGATGGGGACCCGCCCGCCTGTGGGCTTGATGGCGTTGTCGTAGAAGTTGTCCCACGCGTTGACGATGCCCTTGGACGACTTCTCGCCTCTGAACCAGCCGGGGATCCACAAGAGGCCACCGATGGACCACTCCTCCAGCATGGCCGGGTCTTGCAGGAACACGATGGGCACGATGACCATCTGCGAGATCTTCTGCTTCAGGTCCATCTTGGCCAAAGTCGCCTCCACGAACCAGTCGTCCGCACCGATCGCGGCGCCAGCCTGAGGGGTCACATTGCCGGCCGTCTCCGTTGACAGCCCCTCTGTCCCGGCCGCCCCGGCATCGTCGGTGAATCGAGGCCACCCACAGGTGCGGGGGCCCGACACAAAAGTCGCCAGGGCCTCCACACGCGAAGCCCCCTCGTCCGCCTCGAGCCGACACATGTTAGTGAGCACGTCGAATGTGAAGGCCTTGCAGGTCCCGGACATCTGGCAGAGCGTCTGGCACCGCTCGGCCGACTCGGTCCTCTCAAGGACGGCCTCCTCTGTGCCCTTGATGGACTGGCCAAGGGTGAAGCATGGCGGGTCGTCGGGGACCGGGATGGCCAGTGAGCTCGAGGCGAATGGCTTCATGGAGGCCTTCTGGTACGTGTGCCCAATGTCGGGCGCTGACGACAGACAAAAGGGAGGGAGGGAAAAGACGATTGATTTGATAGATTGGTGCTGTGAGTGTTCACTGTTTGTCACCACACCGCTCTGCTTACAAGAGCATGATTTGGTGCCCGACACGACGCCGGCCTTGGGGATCTTCCCATTGAGGGGCAGCTTCTTCATCCAGCAAGTGGTGTTCTCGCCGCCCCATCCCCACACGAACAAGTCGCACTCTCGAGTCTCGCGGCACGACTCAGAACACGCCTTGGGCGAGGGCGAGTCTTCCACCATCCCGCTGCCCTCCGCATCTATGTCAACGTCCAGCTCGGCGCAATAAGGGATGTCCACACCTGCAGGCAGGCAGGCACGCGCAGACACCAATCAGATCAGAAGTGTGTGAGTGCCTGCCAGCGGCTAGGTGGGTGGCTGGGTGGGGCATGGCATCTCACCGCACACACGAGGGCCTGATGTGACGGTCGAGTCGGCCTTGAGGGTCTCCTGCTCGCTCTCACTCTTCGGCAAGTTCTTGAGGCTGCACAGCAGCTCCTGCGAGTCCCATGTGAAGTGCGTGCACGCCTCCTGCGCAAGGCACTCCTGCTGACAGTCGGGGGCGGACGCCACGCCAGGCACCTCCCCCACCACGGCCAGAGGGGCGGCTGTGCCCTCCTGGCCCTTGATCCCATACTCGAGACCCGACTCGAAACACACCGACCGCATCGCCACGTTTGCCTTCTTCTCGGGCATGGTCTCGGGCTCGGGCTCGGGCTCGTTGACACTGCCGGTGTCGGCCGGGGGCGGTGTTTGTTCTTCCTCTCCTTCTGCCGCCACATCCACCTCCACCTCTGCCTCCTCCGGCTCCTCTTCCCTCTGGGTCTTGGCGGCGAGAGGATTGGTCAATAGGTCGGCGTCGGTGAGCTCCTCAGCGCCTTGTGTGCTGTTTGCTGAGGCGTATGCCGACACCTTGTGGTCGTGGTTGCTGGGGTCCTGACCTCTGACGTTGTTGCCCCCTGTCGAAGTGGCAGCAGCAGTAGCAGTAGCAGTGGCAGAAGGGGCCCTCCCCCCCTCGCCACTGCTGCTGTTGTCGGCCGGGAAGGGGTTCCACCACTTGTCTTCGGACAGGGAAATGCCATTCGAGCCGGCCGGTGCTGCTGCCACATTGGAATTATTGCACGAGAAGAAAGGGACCACATACAGCAGCACGGCAGCTGAACACGGCGACAGCGCAACAAACAATAGCTAGCGCAGTGGCCTGCAGCGCTGCAGAAAGGCATGGTTGTCTGTCATCTACTGGCTCACCACAGATGGAGAAGGACAGGGGTCGCCTTGGCGAGGCGCTTGGCGAGGCGCGTTTGGTCATGGCGGTGCGTCTTGAAGGCGGAGAAGATTCGGCGGCAGGAAGCGAGCAGGCGCTCTCTTGCAAGGGCGGCCCATCCATGGCTCCGCGTTGGCCTCCGCTTTCAACAAATGGCGTCGTCCTTTTAAAACGGCGCTGAAATAATTGTACTAGAATTC